ATTGAATTAAACAATCATCGATGTGAAAAGAGAAATTGGAGTTTATATTTTTAAACGAGGTAATATATTTGGAATTATAACGAGTCTCGCTATCTTCCACTGAATGTCCGCGTCGTAAATTTGAAAACTACGTTCAATTATAATTGACAATCCAACTTGAAGTCTCTCATTAAATTCGTATCTCATTTGGAAGTTCGTGAGCCCTCGAAAGTAAATTGAGACCGCGGAATTTCACCAGCAGTACTTGGGAAATCATCGAGAAAGTTAGTTCGCGATAAAAACAGCGCTCGTCTTGCCATTTATTATGTATATATTTTAACTGCGATCAGGCAGTCATCGAGCGCGGAAAAAAAAGCGGCCGGGGAGGGTCGGGGGACGTTAATCGGCGAGCGTCACGCGGAAAGGCCGAGGGCGAAAATTACGGGAACTTTCAAAGCGTGAAATTCATCCGGTGAGAGCAGAAGCAGCGGGCACGGTGGCGCCGATAAAGCCTCTCGCTCTCTCTGTGTAGCAGAAGCGTGAAGGGTTAATGAATGGATATTCAGGCGAATCGGTGCAAACCGTGGTATGCCCGCTTTGGATAAACGGTGAAACCTAGTCGCGAGCGATCGCGACGCGACCTGTCATAAATCGTCATCGATGCGCCAATAAATAATTGATCGATATTGCGGGCGCGCATAGCTGTGTCGGAATTAAGCGCGGTGATAACAAATTAATTTTCCGCTTGTTGCGGTGAACGCGACTGTTCTTCTTCATAGCAGTTTTATTCTTGGATCCCATTTATTCTCGTTCACGAGTCTCCTCAGTATCGCTCGTTTGTCATACAGTACTCAGTAATTCTCGATACAGCTCTTATAATTACAACCAGATCGTAACTTTAATTACAGGATCATTCACTTATCTTGTTAATGTCAGTAGATATTAATTGAAATATCAATGGAAATAGAGATACGATTTTACGGACATTCATCAAAGTTCATTACAACAAATTACTGTGTCGATGAATCGTCAAACGAGCGAGACAAGTTCTAACTCAATATTCTTAGGAATACTTCGGCGGGATTGAAGCCTGGACGAGTCAACGTGTAAGTACAGGTAAGTGGAAGGATCAAGAGCAGTGTGAAGAACGGCTAGAAAAACAGCCTGTATTTTTTTTTCGCTTTGATTCCCGTTCTTTTTTTGTGCTCGTCGTGTACTCGGGCTTGGCCCGGCAATTGCAATACGGCCCGATTGAAATGAAGCAAACGCGGCGACAATAGCCGCGTCTCGATGACCGGATCTCATTCTGCAGCCAGTATTTCTGTTCTGTTTGCCCGTTTGTCCTCTGTTTACACCGCTCAGTTGACAGACCAGCGACAATGGCCAAGCCAAACCGGTGAATAAATTTTTCTCACCGATTCGATCTTCCTCAACTCAAAAATAGACGAATTTGTTAAGCGCAGTTCATATTTTTTGTCATATTTTAAGCAATGGAAATGTTTTTCATAAATGTTAAAACAATTATATGAATAATTATATAACAATTATATAAACGTGGTGAACCAATTGATTTTAGAATTAATAATAAATATACCATAAATGAGAATGAATCTGATAACAATTGTTGATCCAACTGAAGTTACGAGAATCCGAAGAAGTAAACTGGCTGCGGTTCGAAGATAATGTCAAAGAAACCTGGAAGCTGTTCAGCCGCGATCGGCGAAGTTGCCCGCGACAAATATGGAACGATTAAACAATCGCTTATCTGGACACGCGCGATGAACGTTTTAGGAAACTTCCGATCGGGCGCCGCCGTTTCAACGTTATCCGAAATTGAATACGGAAGTACTTTCGGAACGATGGAAATTAATAATAGCCGCTGCTTGCGCTAGCGCGCTTTTATTTATTCCCGTCTGGTTCCCGTTTAAATATGAACGGCGAAACGAACGGTAGTTACCGAAGAGAAGAGTTATGCCCGATATTCCGGGCAACTTTCCGGACGATGGAAATTCGCGAATGTTTACGGCGGAACGCGATTTAAAACGTGAAATTAATTAATTTACCGGGATTTTGGTAAAAAAAAAAAGTATATTTTTTTCTTGTCATGTACCACGAACGTTGCGATTTTAATAATAGGAAATGAAATAGGATTTCTCTCTGAAAAGTGAACGGAGAAATATCTTTTGTCTCTGATTTACGATATGCAATTTCGATTTGACGCTGAACCACCTGAAGGGTTTCAATTCTTTGCACTCCCATTATGTCAGTAGAAGTCACGTAAAATCTGCAGTAAAAGAATCGAACAATCTTTCCAAATGTCTAAATTAATAATTAATTTCCGAATCAAATTGACTATTCGTAGCACAATAATTATACATAAAATTGGAGGTAAAATTTGTATCCCGAGATTCCACCTTGCACCGTAGACGATAAAATTTTAGCTAGCCATTCAGTAAGTGAAACGAGCGGAGATGGAGTGCAAAGAGAGGATGTCGAGGATAAGTAGAGGCCGGTTGTCTTTTGTTTTAGTCGGCTTCCCCTATGTTTGCCCGAGTTTCGGCTTTGCATGGCACGTTGCATCACCTCCATCATCACCACCATCACCACCACCATTCGGTGCCGAGCTCTCCGTATAGCACGCGGCCGCCTAGCAGAACGGCGTCGCTCTGCGACGCGAGTTCCGGCTACGAGTCGACCAGGAGCCACTTGGGCCCGCACTATAGCGACTACAACGTGCCCAGGGGCTGCAACTCGCCCGTCCTCAGGTACAACAGTCTGAAACCGCGACGGAGGAAGCACAAACGGTCGCAGTTCTACTCGCTCAGGCTGTGCAGGCGGCACGAGTACGCCCAGAGGAAGTATCAGATGTACGCGATACCGATATACAAATGTCCGCACAAAACCGGTAGCACCAGCACGATCGCGACGATGGTCGCGGCGGACACGTCGTCGTCGAACGAGAATCGTGTGAGCGACGGCGGCGGTCAATCGAAGCCCGAACAGCCGCCAGTTCCGGCGCCGAGGAAGTCGAGAAAGACGGATCCCTCGAAGCACGTCTACCAAAACGTTCCCCCGCCCGTTTTCCCACCGAAAAACGACGGCTCATTACCTAGGACTAAGGTTTGTCGACTCTACTCGTGTATCTACTCGTTCCAATGCTCGCCCGCATCCGAGGATCGTTGCTGTCGCCACAGAGAAGAAACCCTCGGTTTCTTGCTAACCGAGTTGAATCCAGACGCGATGCGATTGATCGCTTGCTCGGGTGATCGATCCGCCGGATGGATCGTTCTCTCCACGAGCACGTTTTTATCTAGTGGCCCGGAAATAGATAAGAAGATTCAGTGAAATAGTTTTTCGGCTATCAACGTCAGGTTCATACGAGTATGTCATCAATGTCGCGTGTAAATTATTATTGAAAACAGTTAGAGACAGAGTATACTTTAAGGCGGCAGGAATGAGAAGGATGCTGACATTTCATAGAGAAAGTAAAAATCCTGTTCTTTAAGCAGCACCAGTTTTCTAATAAAATTAGCGTCGCACCTACTGCATGAGTACGATTTACGTTTCCGCAATAGATATAAAACAACAGCTTCGAGCAAATAGGAGGTAGAGTTGCTGGAACTTGCCGAGTTATAATCGGAAATCATATTTTCCCTGCTAAGCTGGATCTGGCCGTCCATGTAGCGACCGTCCTCGCGTTGTGTCGGCCGCGTATCAAGTAAGTTTTCACTCCCCCCAGGCACACCTACACGACACGAGTATACACGTAAAGATTAAACCAGCACGCGTGCACGAGCCGCTTGTCGCCGGAGCTTTTCAAATTCGTCCATCAAGGAGGTAAAATATTGTTTCAATGTTTCCTTTCCAATGTTTTTCCATTCCTTTTCTGTACATTACAAACGGCAAAAACAGTCGCTTGCTTGCTTATGCGAACCGAAGGAGAAATGCAAAATCGATTACTGAGAGTCTATTTGCTCGTTCTTCTCGAAAAGTATTTTTTAAATCGATAAGTATTAGCTATTTCACTGATCGAATTCGGAAAAACAAAATTATGGATAAATCCATAGGTATTACATGATTAACAGTGTAATATGATTTTCCACTTTTAACTCTGAATTGTGTGCATTTCAATTCTCTCTGATTCATTTCATTTCTGAATTATCGACTTGCACGTCAATCATTTCTAATCGGCGTATTTCTCTATCGACGTGTTGATATGTCGATGCTGCTCAAAAATCAAACCTATTGATCACGTAAGATTGACACGTTGTTTACACGTATATTCAAAGTAATCAAAACGCTCCGCTCGTTATTTATCGAGCAAACTTTTATTTTGTCTAACTTTAAATGAACATGTAGTAAAAGAAATATATTCATCCATGTTCCAATACAGAAATTGATATTGCAAAGTAAACAAGATTTATAATTAAAAGAATACACCGTATAAATGATCTTTTAATTAATTCAAAGTATGATTGATTTTATGTTAAGATTCGTTTCATTGTCGCTGAATCAAAAATCTCGTCATTGAATTGGATAATAGTCAGACCGTGAATTGTTCTATCCATAATTTTGAAACCGTGAAACAGCTAGTTCATCTTCGCACTTCGTTTACGGAAAACGAGATTTGGAAGGCGAGAGCGTGACAAGTACGTCCGCGTCCGTCACAGTAGTTTCAATTATTCAATCGGACTCGATACGGGCGTTCAAAAATCCGGACACGAATCCCGGAACGCCAATCCACGAGCGATTACATTTCTCCCCGGTTGCAACGCGACCACCGATTACCCCGTCGGCACCACCGAAAGACGAAATAACATTTCGCCTCCAGGCTTACTATCACCACATACACGGTGTCCACTAATACCCAGAACGTGTCTGACTTCGTATTTGAAGTATATAGCGTACGTTTTATTTAACTTCATTCAAAATTTTTTATTCAACACATTTTATGATTTCTGTTTCATGTTTCGTATGATAGTATTTTGTATTTTAATGGTGATGGAATTTGTGAGTCGTTCAATTTCTTATATATTTATTAAAGAAATTTAAGAAGCAAGGTGAATGTTCCAATTTTTGTTCACGTCCCAATTTCTACTCACTAGCTTGTTTTTCTATAAATTTAAGATAATATATAAAATATGCCAGTGAGTAGAAATTGTGACGTGGACAGGAAGTCGGGGCATTTACTTTAAGATTTTTATATCTGTACATAATTTGTAAATAGTTGAAGTCGCGTTATCTCGTAAATAAGATTAAAATACGATTGCACGCCAGAATGTTGTTAATTCATACTGTCGACTGAGTATGGGATATTGTTTGAATACCACGGGACACCGTGTACAATCCTGTACTAACGACGCCTCCCCGGGCGGGCTGTATCCCCAGCGACTAACCGTGCCTGTTGCAGACCAACAGCCTATACAACTACAAAGAACACTACCAGCAGCAGCATCGGCAGGAGATGCAGCAGTACAGTTTCCCGTTACCGAGCAACAGTTCCAGTCAACTAACACTGCCACTAACGCGCAGCCTGTACCATTCCTCGATAGTTAGCCCCCTGCAGACTTCGTACGTTCACGCGAACAGCCGTCCGCCGACTATCGCGCAGCAGCAGGAGAACCACCTGTCGATGGTGGGCCCGGATGACGAGCACCAGCAGCAACAGAATTACACGAATCACGACGCCGCGAGGCAACCGCCGCGACGGCACGCGAGCAACCGGTCCAGCGACCGGGAGCGACAGAAATCGTATCGCAAACAGAAGCGGGCGGACCGTAAGCAGAAGCAGAGACGGTCGGACGCCTCGAGGAGGTCGGACGCGTACGCGACCGCGCCGTCGTACGAGACGAGCTTCCATCAGGTGAACAGGTCGCGGGACCAGCCGCCGGACCTCGGCATTCCCGAGACCTGCAAGATCGCCTACGACTACTACGAGGACGAGATCGCGGAGTGCGCCGCCGAGCGTCACCGGTCGAACCCCAGGCAGCAGATCTGGGAGAGGCAGGCGAACCGCTGCCCCGAGTACGCGGAGGCGGGCGACGCGAAGACCAGGAACAAACAGAAGAGAGCGTCGTCGAACCTCGGCGACGGTCGCTCGCCGTCCGCACCGACGATCATGCAGTACTCGGAGCTGCACTTCCGGGACGTCGGTCAGGAGATCGATGTCTAAAAGGTCAGTAGACAGAATTCGCGTTGACGGTTACCAGATTATTAAAAACCAAGCGAATTGATTGATACAATTAGTCGAAAGTCTGAATCTAAACATGAATTTCTTGATCACAATTTTAAGGAGGAACGTGATCTCGCAGATCACAACGTATTAAAAATCATTTCATCATTATGACAAAAAATGCAGCCATTATTTAAGAAATAAATCATTCATTGAATAATATCTGTGGCTATACCTTATTTGTATTTGAATCTTAATTTGTTTACGACACGAATACAGGTAGGTTTTATATTTTATTTCATTTGATTGTTTGATTGCTTTCATCTGGTGTTTTCTCTTAGTTGTGAATTGATATTGCCTTTGCGTTTGTCTGTTTTGCCTTTTCTCTTGCTTTTCTTCTAGCTTGCCAATAGCTTTTATAATTGCAATCATCAGTGGTTTGAAATCTTTTTTTTTTTTCGTTTTGTGTCGTTTTATTTTTATTCCCTCATCGACGGTCGCTGGTAAGTATTTCAATTGGAACGAGTTAACAAGAAAAATCAATTAAACCGTGTAAAATCGAAACCGGGTAAATTGAACAACGCGAAATGAAAAACCAACATTAAACGAATTTCAAATTCGAATAAGTCTCGAATGTTTAACGATTCCAATCACGGGACAATTTCTATTTGGGACATCGAAAACGTTACACGGTTCTACGATTACATGGATTTTTAAGTTAATTGTAATGCGCGCGTCAACAATTTTCTGCAACCATAGTTTTGAAACGATTGGCATAAACTTGTCGCGGTGCGATGAGTAGAAGGGCTGACAAAATAATTGCATAATCGATGAAATCAACTTCGGATATTATCGTTTACAACGTTTCAATTTGAAGAAATTGTTAAGAAAGAGGAGCAATTTCGCCGGGGAAATGAAATGCGAGGTTCGAGGGAATTACCGGAAAGTCGAATGGTGTCGTTTGTATCCATAACTGTGTACGACGTCGGCATACATAACAATTGTATCTAAATGTTTGTTCGTAGGAGGGTCAGCGGACAAAGAGCGATACGTACATTTACTAGGACATTTTGGCGTCCGACATGCCTTGTAGGTACAATGTCTTCTCTTTGAGTTACGTCGTATGGCTTAGATTTGTTATCAAACCAACGTACACGTATCAGCGTATGGTCGATAAAACTCTTGTTTGTAGAAAAAAGCTTTCAGTATTGTAGCATACAATCCTTTGCACTTGAGAGACTCACTTTGAGAGAGCAGATACGAATCTATCATTTTTCGTGACGAGAATGTTCATAAAAAGAATGAATTATAACAATTGTATGAAACATTCGACAAAATCAATGACCTACATGATAATCTGACCTACATGATAAAAGAAGCCTTCAGAGAAGCAGATATAGAAATTAAAACGAGTTGCTGAAGATACACTAACTTCATTTAAGTGGGCTATCAAATTTAACGTAGAATATAAAGATAAGGGCAACGTTATGAAAGTATACTGCTTCATAATGCTCTAATTCCCTGCTCATTATCACATTACAAGTGCAGACCTTGTGAAATCGATAATCACTGGCCGATAAGTGGCGTCAGTTATTTCTTTCTTTTTTCTATCAATCTTATAAAAACTTGTCTAAAAAATAATCATAATTAATAGTAATTTATTACAATTAAATAAAGTGAAAATATTCCATGTAGGATTAACAGTTTTAATTGGCAAGATAATTGAAATAATTATAAAGAATAAAAGATTTGTTTTAGAAATCGTGGATCCTGGAATTAAACCGAATTCCTGTTTCTCAGATTTTCTTGAAGTTTAACTTTTAGAATAACGGAACAGTCACGTCTGCGTCATGAACTCCAATCCCGATCGCAAACTTTAATATACGTCCAACTTGAAACTTACGAACGTTAGTTTAGACGTGAACAGTTTCTTGCAAAAAGATGCGGTGACGATTTTAGACAGCATTTCTAATTCGTAACAAGTGCAAAGGATTAACTCGCTCCCCGAAGTGCACACGATTTCCGAATGTATGTAAATATGTACACCGCTTTTGTTAGTCGTGAGGAATTATTTACAAAACTCCAATTACAAGCAAAGCGCATGTAATGAAAAATTATAAAAAACGAGTACTTTACTGTGTCACAAGGTATAGTAAGAGAAGCACGTAAATGAAATTTAACCCATTCGTTGCCAAGGACGAGTATACTCGTCTTTGGCAGGGTGTCACGCATTGCCAGGACGAGTATACTCGTCCTGCTTTAAATATATTATAACATGCAGGCTCTTTTGAAGGCCCATTGCCAACGACGAGTATACTCGTCTTTGGTTTTCTGCTTCTAAATGATTATGTATGATAATATATGTGCTCTTACCAAGAAATAACTTGGCAGCGAATGGGTTAACGAATACACTTAATAATTAATGAAAAGATTCGTCATAGAGGAGACGTCGAACGTGAAAATATGATTCAGGTCTTTTGCACGTCCCATTCATTATAATTACTAGACACCACCGCGCGTGCCAATCAGCAAGATAATGATATTATCGCGTATCACCGTGGAGCGAAGATCTGATTATTTAAATTCAAACAACAGCGAACAGTTTGCCTATTCGATGAGTGAATAAGGTCGTTCGACTGAAAACTTCGTGCCCGATTCACCGACTGGTCCCCGCGTTTGATCGTGCACGCCAAAATTTTAGAATGATCGCGACGACAACCCCGGCTCTGTAGCTGGAGTTACCAGCTCAAATGGTTGCTTTACGAACGTACAGGGAAAAAGCATATCGGTATACGTACACATATCGCTCGCGCGTGCCCTGGTCTTCATTCGGAGTTGAACCGCGAGCTGCATATTCATCGCGTGTTTCAATAGTTTGAGGTTTCACTTGCACACAGAACTGCTGAATGAGTGCACGGTTCTTTTTTGTCAGAGATACGAATGTTCCGGGCGGCGGTATTAGGTTACTATTGCGAATGAAACTCGCTTATAATCGAGCAACGCGTGGCAAAGCAGAAAATAAATAAAACAAGTAGTAGCACACTGTGCTTGGTCAGACATCTTATCCTCCGAGAATTAACTTCAGAATTGACTTTTACGCTTACATCTGACATCGTGTTATAGAATTACATCGACTTACTGAAACTTTACTTTAATTTAATAAATAAACAATAATGACATTAATAACTAACAAACGTGGCAAGTAATAAAATATCAAGCATTGTTGAGCAATATTTTTATACAGAAGTTGTTGGACTTTAATTCTTTGGACTAATAATTCACGGCAGATAGCGTGAAATAAACGGAAAGATATTCGTATCGACACGCTAATGTCCGGAATAGATTTCTTAGCAATTGTATCGTTGCGCGGTCAGCAAAAAAGTCTGCTGAACCCCCGAGTTCAGCGTCGTTCGTTTTCTACTCTCTTTTTCTGTCCGGTGGCTCTGCAATTTTCTACGCCTCGCCGTGACATAAATGCGGCCGCGAATGCATCGAAGCAATAGCAATGAAAACGGGGAAATATCTACCGTACGAAATAAAATACAACGATACGGTTTTAATCAATGCATCATGATAAAGCAAAGGAAAATATTGTTAAAAGCTAAAATATTAAAGGGTGTTTCTTTACTACATTGCATAATGGAGATTTATGCATTCATAAGAAGGAAAAACAATTTTACGTACCAAATAAATATAATTAAACGAAACATTATGCTTAATTAATAAGCACACAAAGACACGTGCGAATAATTAATTAAACAATGTTAGTGATCATTAATTACTTTAGTTTGCAGGGCGAAAGTTAATTAAAATAAAATAATATTTGAGATCCAAATGAAATAAATCATATTGAAATATCTGTACAGA